AGATTCTTCGTGAGAAGTATGGTGTCATTGAAAAAATTGACCTTATTCCAAATGGAGGGAGTGTTAACGTAACTGCTGAAAATAGGTGAGTCGTCAGTAACCAATATGTATGTTTTATAATTAAACAACTCTCTTAATGATGGAGAGTGGACCACGTGACGCGATAGWGCCCTCTGCGGAGGCATAGTTAATAGAGCGGAGGGGTACTATCAGTGCATAGAGCTATTTTGTTGTCGAACTTCGTTCTCGGGTGACTATTTGTTTTTTTGAACATCCAGTTTCCAAGGGCAACTATCACGTCATTGTGCTATGACGTGTTGGTATATAACAAAAGCTGTCTATTTACTTCTCAGTTAAAGGAGAAATTTAACGTTTGTGTTTAGTATGTAATATCAAAAATCATTCGTGCATTAAAGKTACGCGACTGTTAAGAAGGAGAATTAAGAAAAAAGAATAGTCCAAAAACAATCCAATATAAACCCACGTTACAAAATAACRACAAGCCCGGTTTGGAGACTCAACTTAGTTTCAAAGAGCTTGTCAACAACAACATAATATATTGAGTTAATACGTGAACGAATAGCAAACAATTCACTGGTGTCTACAGCCCGCACTAGTGTAGAGTTCGTTCCCTTACTAATGTATTTGCCCTTTTGCTTCAAGGCAGCAATATGTAAATTCTTATATGGACTACTATCTAAACAAGTCCGTTGAAAAGCAGTTCCAGGCTTTCGCATCTGGTTTTCACCGTGTATGTGGTGGAAGGGTCCTGGTAAGTTGTTATGTCGGTAGCCTGACGACCTTGTATTTTTGTCTATTTTTATTTAAAAAATAAAGTCAGGATGTACTTATTTAGTGTTTTACCACAGTTATGTGAATTTTCGCTGGTTGATTGCCTGATAAGAGTGTGTCAATAAGAGGACATGCACTCCGACACCATCACTTTTCGCGYGCGAACAGTTGAGAAGTAAGAAGGATTATCGTTAACTTTAAGACCAAAAATGGGTCAAAGAACAAATTGTACGAGGTTTTTTTTGTTTTGATTTGTGGCCTTGCTTACACCTTGAGTTTGCAACATTTTATGTCGTCAGGAGTGTTCCAATAAAATTGCATAAAACCCAAAARCCGTGCGCAATTTGTTAAATATATTAACCTCTATAAGTCTTGAATAGAGGTCCGTCGACATGCTGTAATTTATAGCTGTTATGTTATAGGAATTCTTTCATCCTCAAGAGCTGATGGAAATGGTCATTGGCTGTCAAGACTATGACTTTACAGTTCTCGAAAAAGTGAGAAACATGCACTGATATTGTAGTGTGTGAGGGTTTTTGTGAATAATTTAGCATGTTATTTTTATTCTTTTTTTAAGGTGGCTGAGTATAAAGGCGAATATCATAAAAACCATCAAGTCATTAGGAACTTCTGGGAAGTATTTTATGAATTCCCCGAGGATATGAAAAAGAAATTTTTAGGTATTTTAAGAGGTTATAGGGAGACACTATAATTACTATCTGTGTATTGTTCTATAACTGCTATCTGTGTATTGTTCTATAACTGCTATCTGACTGTGTATTGTTCTATAACTGCTATCTGTGTATTGTTCTATAACTTACTGCTATCTGTGTATTGTTCTACAACTGCTAT